TGAACCGTTCATATTTTAGAAGGTATCGTGCAAAATATATCTATAAAAAATCACGTCAATCGGATATCGTTTTCTCTTTCATCAAATCATGTTTATATTGAGTTTTATATTTCAAATTATATTTATCTTTTTTTTTTAAATACAAATGTAAGATTGACGTGATTTTTTACAGGTACATTTTACTCAATACCTTTTAAAATGTGAACGGTTCATATTATCAAATTAGACTCTAAAATGAGCCTAATAAAACACGTAACAGTTAATGCTGCGCACCCTGTGCAATAACAACCCAAACTACCAAACTTTGAAGATATGGGGATCATGGCTAAAGGAGTCTCAAAAATTCCTCTTAAATAAATTATATTTACACCAAACAACTGCCTCACTTTCGGAAAGTTAAAAAAACTTTATTTGGCTCACATTATTTTTTTATTTTTTTATATATTTTTTTTATAATAAGTTAATAAATAAATAAAAATGTTATTTTCTAAAATAGGCTTAACTATTTGGTGAAAAAATGTTATATCATGTGCACTTTATCACAAAAATATATAATTTTATGATAAATGTTACATATTCTTATGATAAAATTATAATAATTTATAATTTACAAAAATAAGTAGCATACGCAACAAAAATATGTTATTAATCTAGAATATTACATATTGCCCTCGTCTGATGAGATACTAAGGCCATGTTTGTTTGGGTGGACGTGAAGTTGGGATTGGACTAATAGTCCAATAAAATTATTAATCTGATGTTTGGTTAAACAATTGAAGTACGGACTAATTATTTTAAACTTGACTATTAGTTAAGATATGACACATAATCCAACAGATTCGTAGTCCTAGGACTATTAGTCATAGGAATGTTAATCCAGTCCGCCCAAACAAACATGGCCTAAGGATTAAATCGTCCTTTGGCATTAACTTATTTTAGTTGGCTTTTTTGAGTTTAGCTTTTTTAACCTTTATGAAAGAAAAAATAAAATGATTATGGTTTGAATATGACATTTTATCTTATTGACTTACTTAACCTATTTTGTCTTTTGTACTTTTTTTAATCCAACTAAGTTAGCTAATTTAGCTCACTAAAAACAAAATATACTAAAAAATTAATAAGACTAAGTAGTTATTTGGGATGAACTATATAAGTACACTTTTTAACTTTTTAAGTAAAAAAAGTGAAGAAAAAAATATGATTATTTTGAATAATTTTTTGACTTTTTACAAAAAAAAAATATGTATAAAAATATTATATAAAATAACAAAATTATTTTTTTACCCCTATGCATACTGACATGCACGTGCATGTCAGTACGGTTGTGGCGGAGCTGTGTGTACTGGTTTGTTGGAAAATAATTTTTTTTTTTTTTTTTGGTTGTTGCTGTTTTCCAGCCTGGTCTACACTTGATACTAGGGGTGTACGCGGTGCGGGTCGGTGCAGTTTGAGAACAAAATAGAAATCGTATAGCGGGTGGCGGATTGATAAAAGTATCATTAGAATTTGTCATTTTCTTTATTAAAAACTGACGGTTCAGTTGGCAAATAATGGCGGATTTGCCTTGGCGGTTCGGGCGGATTGGCAGTTTATAAAAAATATAATTCAAATTACAAAACTTAAATCAAAGAGTAAAAAAAAGACGAGAGATACCGTGATGTTAAGCATCTTGCGAAACTTTCTTCTAATGCAGCAAGTGTAGCAACAGCATGATAATATCAACGACTATGCCATCAGTTCATTACAAGCATCTGTGGAAATTACAATGATCAAACACAATACATAAAATTAATATCATTCAGGGTTTACAATATATTGAAAATGTTTACTGTTGAAAAGTATTTAGATTGAAAAGTGAGCTGATGCAAGTTTGCAACATGGCCAGAAAAAAAAAAAAGATTGAAAAGTGAATTGGAATCTAACTTTATTTTGGATTACTGACATCTTGAATTCCCCTCGAGCAGTAATGTAATACTATATTCTAAGGTATAGAACAACAAGCAAACTTAAGTAAAAAAGAATTTTTAGAATCTTATAAAACATGATTTAATAGCGGTGCGGGTCGGTGCGGTTTGGAAGAAAAATAAAAACCGACGGATTGATAAAAGTGTCACTAGAATTTGCCATTTTTCTTACTCAAAACCGGCGGTATGATTGGCAAATAATAACGAATTTGCCTTGACGGTGCAGTTCAGTGCGATTTTAGCAATTTCGACGATTTCGGTGGTATTATGCATACTCCTACTTGGTACAATGTTTTGAAAAGTTTGTTATTTTTTTATTTTATTTTTTTGTGTGTTTTTTTATTGTTTGGCAGTGGTGCACGTCTCCTACAGTGATGTCTAGTGAACTATGTCTATGTCTAGTGGATTTATTTTTCTTGCCCCTTGATTTTTGTGAGTAGTGTTAATTTTTTTATTTTTTTAAGTAATTTTTTGGCTTTTTAAGTTTGATAGAGTATCCCAAACAAGCACTAAATGTCACATCTAAATTATAATCATTTTACTTTTTCTTTCACAAAACTATGAAAAAATCAAAAATTCATCCCAAACAAAAAATTTTTAGCCAAACTAAATAATTTAAAAAACCAAAAAATTAGACCAAAAAAGTTCTTCCTCAACTTAACCTTTGAGATTTCCCCTTTAGGATTCTTTTTATCATATTTTTCTAGACAAATTTAGGCTCTGTTTGGTGGAACTCTCCAGACCTCGATTTGAACATAATATTTATTTATAATTTTCAAAAATTAATTCTACACTCACTTTTGAAAACGCGATCGAATGCGGGAAAATTTAGGTTAACCGGACGTCCGGCTGGTTGACCGGAACAAGGCAATTTTTTTTTTTTTTTTTCAATTGACACATGTTAATTTTTATATATCAATAAAAAATATTTTTCGAATTTTTTTTAAAAAAAATTATGAGTTTTAATAGAATTTTGAGTTGTGTGTTTAATTATGAGTTGTAAATTTTTGTATCAAATATTATATGTCACATCAAAAATTCCCCACTCAATTCAAAACTCATTCACCAAACAAATTTTTCACACTCAAATCATAATTCCAAAACTCGCATACTCAAAATACAACTTTATTCTCAAATCATATTTAAAAAATTCAATCAAACGCAACCTTAGAAATTATTTTAGTTATTTATCTATCTTAACTTCTCCGATATTCAAGATTGCAAATTACTCTTTTAACACTCTCAATTAATTTGTAATCTTCATGCATTACTGTGAGACTTTCTTTGTTGTTACTGCTTTTATCACCATATATGCTAATTGCTTCTACTCCAAGTAGATTTCTCTGTTCTGCACACTAGCTCAGATAAAAATGTTACATCTCAATGTGCTTTGTGTTGCCGTGGAATATTTCTCGTTGCAATGGCTGACATATTATCAAAATAAATATATAGTAATGGGATTTTCTTCTTTGTGCTCGATATATGAGAGAATTCTTATCCATCATACTGGTTCATAACTTATATATGCAGTAGCAATATATTTTATTTCTACTAATGATAGAATCATTGTCTTTTGCTTTCTTAAAGCTCTTGTGGTCCTCTACTAAGCCTAGCCAGCATTGCCAATATAAGCAAAGAAGCTTATTGTTATTTTTCTTTCATATATTTGACGTCCAGTTTCTTGGTGCCTCGAAGATATCAAAGAATTCACTTTACTACTACATTAATAATATGACTTACTTGGTTCATGCAAGAATTTAGAAATAAATAATGCCTGGTCTAATGTTAATGAGATAATTTAGTGAGCCAATTGATTACGAATAGATGGTAGCATTGACATTCTCTATTTCATCATTCAGTTGCAATTTCTCATTCAAGGAATTAGGAGTGGAGATTGGCTTGTAGTTGGACACATGAAATTTTTCAAAAAAATAAATAAAATTAAGATATTTTCCTTGAGATAGATTATTTATTCCTTTGACTACTTTAATTGAATGCCAAGAAAATATCTTATTAGGCCCAAATCAGTCGTCTCCTACTCTTATGTAAATCGATATATGGGCAAACTATGAGAGTCTAGGATACCATCCTTCTTGATGTATAAAAATAGCTTACTTTGACTTCTCTGAGATCCATTTTGTTAAAAAATACTTGTCAATATTACTATTTCAGGCTCGGAATATTTGTTTCAAAGTGCCTTCCAAGCTGATATGCCTTTGTTTCAAAGAGTCATAAACTTCTTCTTTAAGCTCCTTATTGACAAAAAAATTTGTGAGTAGCCTTGTGCTTTGGATTGAGCCATTTTCATTATATTTGGTTTTGCAGACCCATTTAAGACCAATCACATCTTTATCTTTGGGTAAATCAACATCCCAAGTGTGATTATTTTCAATTTTTTTTATCCATTGCCTTTTTTCAAATTATTCTTCAACAACTTTTTCAAATTTTATGACTCAAGTAAAAAAAATGTTACATCACACAATTCATATGACTCCCTTGAAGAACGTATCAATTCAAGTAGTTGAAATAATACCAACTAAAACTCACATTTTTCCTCTTGATTTTTATTAGGTCGTATTTGACTTATAAATTTGGGTAAGAATTTAAAAAAGCAAAGAAAAAATGTAGGTGAAATGTGAACATTTTTTTTTTTTTTTTTGGGTAAGCAGGTGAAATATGAATATAACTACATTTCAAACATTTTTTTCAAAGAAGATTGTATTACAAATATAGGATAAATTTAAGTTTTTTTTCTACTAATAGTAATGTAGGAAAGCGTGTCAAAAAAAATTGCAAGCAACTTAATTCTCCTAAATTACACCATCGAAGATGTTCATCATCTTCTTGCTGCAGCGTTCAATTTTATTTTATTTTTCTTGATTGTAAATATCCCAAATAAAATTTGGCATGATACTCCTATCATGTCAAATTGACACGACGAGAGTGCGTTTTTTGTACCCATCATGTCAAATTTTAGCAATAACACGATGAATAGCAACTGGCGAAGATGCTTTTAAACTGAATAACCAACTCTCATATCCAAATGCGTGGAGAAATTTTATTAAAATCACGCTATTATGTTTTTCTCCTAACAGCAAGATTCAAAATCAAACTATATTTTTTTTTTTCAGCTCAGCTAATACCTAATGCTTATTTTCCTATGAATAATCTAGGTTCCACAAGTGTCTCATATGATCATATCAAATACGTAGAAGATTAACACAAACTTTACCAAATCTGTGAGAAACAATTCTGTCACCATTTGCAGCAGCAAAAAGAATATCATCAATGAGAGTTACGATGATAATGAAGTCTGACACCATCGAACCATCAATGGCGGCAAAGAAGAAGCTTCCTAATGATTCTACCTGTTGAATAGAAACACAGAAGCTCACATTAGAAGAGTATTAATTCTTCCAACAACTTAAGACAGAAGCTCACATTAGAAGAGTGTTAATTCTTCCAACAACTTAACAGAAAGTAAATGATGCAAAAAACCAGAAAATTCTAGCATTAGAATCGCACAAGTTGGTAGAAAAATCTGCATTTAAGATGAACAATCTTGATCCCCACAATCATTCCATAGGCACATTACAATCATGACTCATGTTTACAGTCATGTAAATTAAAAGTTAAATTTTTCTCTTGGTTGACATTTCTTTTTTCTAGAATCAGTAGCTGGATCTTGCTTGATCAACCCAATGATGCCCACAATATGAAGTATCTTGCCTTCCAAATTGAAGCACATAACAATTTTACAAGGTCGTCACTAAGCAAAGCCATACATGCAATATTGTAGCTAAAACTCAATCAACTAGATACGAAGGTCATGGGTTAGAAATTTACAACACAAGTATCAACTAGATGTCAGCATCAGTAACAAGTTACAGATTAAAACTATTTGAGATCATTAAATCATCTCCATAGACTCCATAATGTATGAATCGATCATGAAGGAAAACATGTCTTTCTCCTAGTTATTCTTGACAAACCCAACTATCAGCAGGTACAAAAAGCTTTATTCATGGCCCATGTCAGTCCACATCTGTCAATATCTCCCTCAAAGAAATTATTTTTCAGTGAATTAAACATTCAAATATACCCCCTTTTCCCCCAAAGAATTTTGCATATTTTTCCCTCTAAATATTATCTGAAATCAACTCAAGTTGAATTCATATAAGACTATTGAACACCAAATGAGTTAAGGTTCCCTCTAATTGCACCTGCTTAGTGCATTACAGTTTGTTACAAGCCACAAGGGTCATGCCTCTGAGGGTAGAAATGTAATGTTCAAAAGTTTATAGCAAAATGTAAACAAGTTTTACAATCAAAACTCTATCAGGCTCATGCTTCTCACATGATAAACTTAATAACGTGAAGGAAAAAAAATAAAAAATAAAAAATTACAGAAGTCTGACAGATTAACCAAACTATGTCCATTTCCTCAACTGAAACTATTCAAGTGAAGTAGATGGCTTCAAGTATTATCCGATGCACATTTTCTCTACTATAATAATTAAATCATTTCCTTTCCTTGCATAACTAGACCACATTATTTGTGCACAGTGATGAGAAACACAACGTAGCAGACATGAAACTTCCAAGAATCTACATACAGGGACATTGCTGTGTTTGTATCTTTATTTGTCTGTGTTCGAGTATTATCTCTATATTTGCAAAAGAACCATAAAGAGAAAATAACGAACATCCTAATAGTATCTAATCTGTTTTGAAAGAAAACAATTAGCTTAAGTTCTGTTATCCTAATATAAATATAAAAAAAAAGGTAACATTTTTGCAAGCATCTTCGTTTCAAACCAGACCATTAAAAAAAATGTCAAACATGGGTGGACAGAACTATAATTGCAAGTGACACCGTGCCAACCAACCATTGCAACAGAGATTACCACTACCAAAAAGATATTATGACTATTGAACATCATAGAGTACCATAAGAAAAATCTTCTCAATGGAAAAGAAAAGCAATTCATTTTTTATTTTTTTTGATCAGATATATTAAGGCTCAAGGCCAAGAAAAATGAGGATAAGGCATCCTCTGCAAGAAAGATGGAAAAAACCAAAAGAGACAAAAGAAATACTACATAGTACAAATTGACAACCAATCGGTAGCAAGCGAAAAAAGCGGAATCCCTCGGAATACTGAGCTCACTGAGGCCCAAAAAGACGCCAAGTATCTCACTCTATCTCATAAATAATCTACATCTCAGGCAACTCCTTCGAAAACACGTGCATTTCTTTCCAACCAAATGACCCAGAAAATTGCCGAGACAACACCACTCCAAAGCACTTTAGCCCTCTTCAACCTTCCAAAAACTTGAAAATCAAATAATAGCAATTGAGCGCATCATTACGAGGCCACCCACATCACACTACCCAATCCAAACACCCTATGCCACAACCGCCAAGCTACCAAGCAATGCAAAAAGAGATGATCCACAGATTCTCCACTTTTACAACACATAATGCACCATTGAGGATCAAGATACCGCGAAGGTCTCCTTTTTTGCAATGAATCATTTGTCAAAGTGCCCCCATGAACCAAAATCCACATGAACACTTTCACCTTAAGAGGAGCACATGCCTTCCAAATCCTTTTATGAAACGAAAAATGAGGTACATGAGAAGTATCAATGATTTTATCAAGAAAGGATTTACAAGTAAAAGAACCTGACGAACGAATATTCCAAACTAATCTATCCTCCAAAATTGGAGACAAAGAAACATTTTCGAGCCTTGACAAAAGAGATACCAATTCCGGAACTTCCCTCATGAAGATTCTGGCAGAAGTTAAAATTCCAAGAAAAAGGAGCCACCAAAGAACCCACCACAGACGCAACAGAACAATTATGATACTAAGAAACGCTATACAAAAGTGGATAGGACGCAGCCAAGGACGAAGAGCCCACCCAAGCATCCTCCCAAAATTTGACCTTTTCCCCATTACCCACCCTCACAGAAATAAATCAAGACCAAACTGGATAAATCTAAGAAATGGACTTCCAAGGAGGACGCCCATTACCCCTCGTGACCACCTGAGAGTCCTTACCATTAACCTGAGTCTCATATTAACTTTTAATAACCACATGCCATAATGAACCACACTCAGTGGGGAATCTCTATAACCACTTGCCCAGCAGAACCATGTTTCTAGCCACTATATTACCAATGGTCAAACCCCTCTTCTCCCTAGATAAGGACACCGTTTCCCATTTCACTAAATGATCCTTCTTTCCTTCATCTTTCCCTTTCCAAAGAAAATCTCTCATTAACTTTTCTATAAATTTTGCTACCTTGATTGGAATCTTGAACACAGACATAAAATAAATTGAAATTCCACTTAGCACTGTCTTAACCAAAGTGTACCTACCCCCACAGGATAATAAAGCCCTACTCCACCCTTCTAACCTCTTTCTTATCTTTTCCACAACCGGATTCCAAAACATTTCACCCCTTAGATTACTTCCCAACGGGAGCCCCAAATACTTCATCGGAAATGTCTCTATACCACACCCAAATAACTCAGCCACTCTCTAAATCAAACTTGAATTAACATTAATACCCTCTACCCTACTCTTCTCTAAATTTACCCTAAGACCAGACAACACCCCGAAAAGCCTTAGCACCGAAAAGAGATTAACCATTTGGCTCTCATCTCCCTCAAAAAAGAAAATAGTGTCATTTGCAAATCGCAAATGTATCACACTAATCTTATCTCTACCGACCTGTCAGCCTTCAAACAGACCTACCTTTTTAGCCCTATCCACCATCCTTCCTAACACATCCGCTACCATGATGAAGAGAAAATGAGATAAAGGATCGCCCTGTCTCAACCCTTAAGATGCCTTAAAACTCTACCCTGGTTTACCATTGACTATCACCGACATATTGCAAGACGCCAAACATCCCCTAATCCAGGACCTCCATCTCTCACCATACCCTTTCCTATCCATCACAAAATCCAAAAAATGCCAATCTACATGATCGTACGCTTTCTCAAAACCTGCCTTAAACACAACACCTCTTTTTCCTGACTTCCTACACTCCTCGACCACCTCATTTGCCACCAGAACCACATCTAGAATATGTCTACCTTTAACAAAAGCACCTTGAGTTGAAGAGATTGTATCCCCTAAAGAAGGCCTTAACCTTTTTGACAAAACCTTTCCCAAAATCTTGTAGAGTGATGTCACCAAACTAATTAGTCTAAAATCACCAATTCTTATGGCTCCATCCCTCTTAGGAATCAAACAGATAAATGTGGCATTTGCACATAAATTAGGCTCGTTTGGGAACCCTCCATTTTAGCCAAAAAGCCAAAAAGTTACTAAATTAGCCAAAAAGCCAACAATCCATACCAAAAAGTCAAAGATTCTCTTTTCTCTCTACTTTTTGCACATCTTTTCGTAAAAAGCCAAAAAGTCATCCCAAACATACTAATTTTTTTTAGCTCATATTTTAGCCAAATAGCCAAAAAGTTACTAAATTAGCATGTTCCCAAACGAGGCCTTAACCGCCCCTGTCTCATAAAATTCCATGAAAACTCTCACCAAATCCCCCTTCACAATCTTGAAAAACGGCCATGGAAAACCCATCCGGGCCTGGAGCCTTGCCCCTCTCCCACTCAAAAATTGCATCCCTAATCTCTATTTCCTCAAAAGGTCTTTCTAACCAAGTCGCACTTTCCTGATCAATAGGCCTCCACTCAAGCCCATTTATCCTAGGCCTAACTATCTCATCCTTTGAAAACAATTTTGAATAAAAATCAAAAATCCCTTGGACTATTTGCTCCTCTGAGTCCACCACTACCCTTGGCCTTACTTTCAACATCTTAATGAACTTTTTCTTCCTTTTTCCATCCGCAATCCTATGAAAGAATTTCGAACTAACATCCCCCTCCTTTAGCCACCTCACCTTTGCTTTTTGTGCCCAAAAAATCTGCTCTCTAAGAGTCAACTCTTCCAACTTCACACCTAGTTCCCTCCTCTCTCTCCTCAATTCCTTGAGCTCATTCCCCTACATCTCCAAAGTGTCTATCTCCTCAATTCATGGAAAAGACCAAAGGATTTCATGATTCATGGAAAAGAAAAACAATTCATGGAAAGGACCAAAGGATTTCACGATTCCAAATACACATGGTTCATTTATAATGGGTGGCACAATGCAGGAAACCCTTCTAAATCAATGAGACAAAAGTAGAATATTCTGATTCAAAGAAATCTAGGTTCAGGGACGTCATTGCTAAATACTTTCATTTAACTCAACTGTTAGCCCAAGCAACAAATTTGCCAGTAAATGCATCTCAGCCAGGGTCAAGTTATCATGCCCACATAATGTCCCCTCATGAAGA